CTAAAACCCTGAGGATATATCAAAGCAAGCACAGAAAAACAATAACAGAAGTAAGAAAGGCATTAAACCCCTGATATTGATGCTTTAGAGCAGATTTAAGTGAAACTGTAGAAATAAGTTCTGTAATTTTTGTTTTCATATGTTTATGAATTAAGGTTTTGAAGTGTTTAAAGGGATCATTCATTCAAATATATAAATGCAGTTAGTTTAAATTGTTTAAAATGATATGCTTAATAAATTTGTAATCAATGTTTAAAGGCCCCAAGAAAAATTGGTTTTCAGTTTTGGGTATTAGATTCATGAGCTTAATAAATTGAACATTAAACAAAGAACAAATTATTGTGAGCATTCATCTCCATGGGAAATCCCTTTGAACATAAAAGAATCTATCAATAAAGACCTAGACAGAAGGTAGTCTTACCTTGTGTTCATTATCTATCCTTATATAACAAATGGTCCCCAAACTTACTTGCTTCAAAGAACATTTGTTATCTCAGTTTATCATCCCACAGTTCAGGGATCTGAGCAGCGCTTAGCTGAGTGGCTCTGGCTCCAGGTCTCTCACAAGGCTGCAATTAAGATGTCAGCTGTGGTTGAATCTCAAGCTCAACTAGGGAAGGAGCCCATTCCCAGCTCACTCATGTGGTTCTCGGCAGGATTCGGTTCCTAGCTGGTTGCTGGACTGAGGGCCTCAGTTCCTCCCTGGCTGTTGGCCAGAAGCCACCCTCTATTCTTTGCCATTTGGACCTCTCCATGACGCAGCTCACAACATGGCAGCTGGCTTCATCAGGTGAGCAAGCAAAAAAAGTGAGAGAACGAGTGATAGTCTTTTATAACCTAATCTCAGAGGTGACATCCCATCATTTTTGCCATATCCTATTGTTAGAAGCAAGTCACTAAGTCCACTTCACACTCAAGGGGATTGCATAAGGGCAGGAATACCAGGAGGTGGGGATCATTAGAAGCCATTTTAGAAGCTCTCCACCTGTGAAATTTTCCCAAGGCATTGGCCCATAAGACAATACACTGAGGACCCTGTGTGTACAACCAAATATCATGGCTTTGCAAACACCAAATCACCATTTATTAAACACCTTCTATGCATCAGTCACTGTGGCAGATGCTGGGGGTACCATAATAGATGAGGCACACTTTCTGCCCTTAAGGAGCTCATAGCTGAATGAAGGAGACCAACAATTAAAGAAGAGTTAACCAGTGTCTAGTCTCTTCCTTTCCTATGGCACCTATCATTTTATTTTGCAAATGCTCGTTTAAATCTCTGGTTCCCTGTGAGACTATAATGTCTCTGAAAGAGGGTACTATGTCTGTTTCATCTTCTGGCTTCTTGTTTCTTGCACATGGCCTGACTCATAGGAGGCCTTCAAAAATATAACACTTCGAGCTTAAAAAGCAGACATGGTCAATAATCTATTAGCCATTCACATCTTTGTGTGAATTAATGGTCCCAATCTTCTGAGAAATAGTAATTAATGGAGAAGACGTACTTGGGAACTGGATAAAAGTCATGCTGAGGCGACTATACAAAGAGGAAGCTCACAGTGTTAAAGGAGAGAAACATTAACTCTGTTTTGCCAAGGTCTGATTTAACTGCCCCATTCCTACCTCCTTCCCCCGCTCCCCACCCCCAAGCAATGAGGAAGTTCTCCTGTTTTATGGTTTCAGGTCTTTTCTTCTCTGGATTTTACATGTTCTTTAACACAGGTAGTAATTATATGCCATAGTTCTGACACTGACATAACTCCGTTTCTCTCTCACATAATTGCATGAATGTGAACTCTCTATAATTACTGTGTTTAATTAGAAAATGAGGAGATGCAACTAATGAGGACGGGTGATAGAAACAACTGCGAATATTTCTTTCAAATTTACCTTTATCATCAGATTCACTCAGATTAAGCTCTAGTGAACTACAGAAGTTTTTTTAAAATGTCACTGGCACCAGGTTAAATGAATATATTACTAGAGGGATGCATATTTGTGGAAAACCTAGAATAAGAGCAACATCATCTTTCCTATAAACTTAAGCTTAATTGATGTCCTTGGCCGGTTTAATTTGGAAAGGTAAATTATGGATCACAAAGTTAATGCTTAATGTGGACTTCAAAAATATTTTAAATATGCAACTCTCTTCAAAAGGGGTATTACCTGGAAGCTAACATAGAAAGGGGAAAAAAGTAGAGTTGCTCTAGGGGCAAAGGTTTAAGGCATATGAACTCTGCCCTCCTCGCCTCACAGAATCCCCTAGTTAGGCAAGGAGGGGAAGATATAGCCATTTCAAGTGTCTTCCAAGGAGGATGGGGCCTGTGAAAGGAAGCCTGCTGGCCCTGGACATCTTTGTGTGTGAAGGAGGAGATAGGCCTTGGGGCAAAGCCACGTTTGGGAACAAGGACGATAAACATGAGTTTGTCTGCCTAACAGAGTAAGAATAGAGGGTAAACTGGGATGGAAAGGCAGAAAAGAAAGGAGGAACCAGCAGGGTGGTTGTAAGTGGCCTGGACAGTCAGCAGCAGAAAGCTTGCCACATTAAGTTGTCTCATGACTGTCATGCAGTGTCAGACCCCTAGGCTTCTCCCCATTTTCAGCACAGTTTGTTACTTTCACAAAGGCCTAGCAAGGCAAGAAGTTTGTGAGGGTCACAGAAAGGGCCAACCCGTTTATGGTCTGGGCAGATGCGACATGGAAAGGAACAGCATGCGTGGGACTAAGAGATGATCCATAAACTGAATCTAGTTCAATTGTTAGGACGATTCAAGGAGTTAGTAAGAACAGTGTCCTACACACAGAACAGTTGATATGTGCTTGTTAAAATAAATAAATTCTGTGAGACAGCCCCCACAGCTGACTCAGTGAACCTGGCCAAGCAGAGGAACTGAGAGTCACTGGAGTAAGTAACAAAGGCTGGCAACAGTGTCCTCCCCAAATTGTAAGGCTGGATTCCTTTATTACGCTAACTAGAGTCCAAAGATTATAATCTCATTAATGGCAAATACTAAGTGTGTTTTCATCTTTGTATCCTGAGGACCTAGTACAAATGAAATGCCTGGAACATAGTAGAAATCCAGTGAAAAATTGTCCAATGAATAAATGAATGGGTAGATGTTATATCTTTTGAAAACATGTATTTATTTAAAAATTTTTTGAGCTTTCAAGGATGTAGCATTATTTTAATCACAGCATTGCTGTGATATTTTTTAACTTCATATTTGTTTCTAGGTCTGAAGGAATTCTTGGAGTCTCAGGAATACCAGTTGGCCAACCCTGCCTTATACTTACTCCTGACACTGCCCAACCCACTGAAATGTTTGTAGTTCACAAATCAGGAAGTGGATATTTTAGTGCAAACACTAGTAGGCAAAGTCAGATATCTTTTCCATAGAGTAGGAGATAAACAATATTTCCGGGTACAAAGTACAATAGGCAGACCCTACAACTCTACCTTCAAAACGTATTGACAGGGGCCGGCCTGGTGGTGCAGTGGTTAAGTGCGCACATTCTGCTTCGGCGGCCCGGGGTTCACCAGTTCGGATCCCGGGTGCAGACATGGCTCCGCTTGGCAAAAGCCATGCTGTGGGAAGCGTCCCACATATAAAGTAGAGGAAGATCGGCATGGATGTTAGCTCAAGGCCAGTCTTCCTCGGCAAAAAGAGGAGGATTGGCAGTAGTTAGCTCTGGGCTAATCTTCCTCAAAAAAAAAAAACATATTGACAATCTGACCACTTTTACCACTTCTACTGGTACCACAGTGGTCCAGGTCACTAGCTGTCACCAGGATTATTGCAATGGTCTCCTAAGTGGACTCCCACTTCCACTTTTGCCCCACAGTGTCTTTTCTCAACACAACAGCCAGAGTGGCTTGTTAAAACATAAATCAGATCATGACCCTCCTTTGCTGAAAATATTTGTATTAGTTGGTATACAATTGGGAAACCAGAAACCACTTTAGATACTTCAAAGAGAGGGAATATATATTATAGGGAATTGATTACAAAGATTAGTAACTGCGGGAAACCACTACCCCCCTTCGGCTGGAGGAACAAAAGAGAAAATGGTGTTTCATCGAACCCACAATCAGAGCCTCTCGAGTGACTACTGTTGGAACCGAGCTGCCTGAGCCAGCATTCTCAGCTGCTGTTGCTGTTAATGCAGCTGCCATGTGGGAAAGACTGCCAGGATCCTCATCCAAAAAAAGGAAGGCTCTCTCTTCCTTCCTCCCATCTTCCAGTCCTGCCAGTACCTCCCAAAGGCAGAACCTAACAGGAAGCCAGCAAGGAAGGGACTCTGGGAAGTGTAGTTTGTAGGTCTCTTGCCCCAGCAGTAAGAGGAAGGTATAGAGGGAGAGGGTGCGAGGTTGACGAAAACAGAGGCCATCCAGAGCAGCACTCCACTCACAGGAAAACCCAAGGTCTTCCAATGGCTCCGAAGGAAGGTGTCCCCTCACCCCAACACACACGCACCTTCCTTTCTGACCTCATTCGCTGCCACTTGTCATCTTTCTCACTGCACTCCAGCCACGCTGGCTTCTTTGCTGCTCTTCCAACATGCCAGGGTCTCGCCCTCCTATGAGTCTAGCACTTGCTGTTTCCTCTGCCTGGAATGATCTTACCCCAGATACTTTCACAACTCACTCCCTCATCTCCTTTAGGCCTTTGTTTAAAGGATGCCTTCTCAATGATGCCTCCCTGAAAACTAATTTAAGATTGCAGCCCCTCCCTACTCCCTACACCCCTTATTTACTTTTTGTTAAAGCATTTATCCTTTCCTAATACACAATATAGTATGTATACACATGTGAAGTTTTATCATATATATAAATATATTTTTATTCTACATTTTTAGTTGTCTCTACAGATACATATTAAATACACATATTTTGTCTACTGATATATCCCCAGGGCTCCATAGATACTTGCTGACTGAATAAATAAATGTCATCATTAGTAGGTGTATTTATTATAGCCTGAAAAGTATTAAAGGCTCTTAAGAGCATGGGGGAAGATAAAGAAGCCAACATTGCTTACACCGCTTCCTCTGGGAGCCTCTTCATAACCCCTCTCAGGCTGCATTAGGTGTTCCTTCTATGTGCTTCAGTTCTCCCTGTTGCTTTCCTATCCCAGAACTTGTCGCACTATACGGTAATTATGTGTTTGTAAGTCTGTCTCCCTCACTGCAACTGTGAGTCCCATGAGCTACCAAAGGGGTGGTTCCCAGCTGGGTAAGCCTGCACATCAAGCACCTAGCGAAGCGGTGTTATTGTGCATGTCCCGCACACAGGCTGGGCTCAAACAATATTTGCTGTCGAACGTTCCTGTCAAAAAGCAGAAGAATACACTTAAAGGCTTCTGGACATCGTTCCTTCCCCTGGCATTCTAGAAAGATAGAAGAGTCAATAGCTGTGAGAAAACGTGAACAGAGTAAGAAAATAGTGAAGGACAGAAGCAAAGAAAGTCAGTGAGCAATAGTTCTATCATTCTGGCTAAGAGAGGACAGGCAAAATCATCATGGCTCCAAAAAATATTTTAATCTTTTTATTAGAAGTAATTCTATGGCCTGAAAAGCATTCCATTGTTGAACTATTTTAATAGCTGAATATTAAAGAATAACAAACAAATCTTGAAAAAATTGTTATGAAAATCAAAATAATCATCATAGAAAAGCAATGTGTCTCAACAGTTAGCAGATTTTACAGTGTTATGTTCAAGGGCTAAGGGGAGTGGGTGTTAGAACTACAAAAGTTTATTAACAAAAGCATTTTTCTAATTTTATAACCAATTTTAGGAGAAAAGAATTATCCTTAGTATGTGTATTCATAGACAATAGAAAGATAATTGCAAAAATCAGCCTTGGTTAATTTTTCTTTTAGAGGTTCCCAATAAACACCTATAAAATATCCACAGTCTTTCATGAAGAGATCATGCCTATATCTTAGATGTAAAATAGATTTATTTATTTAATAATAATTCAGGGGCTGGAATAAGTCAGATCACATACACATACTTAAGCACCAAATTTATCATGAATTGCTTTGACTTGGCTTGTAACCTCAGTAGTATAGAGGCATGCAGAAATGTCTTATCTCATCTGCTTCTAAGAAGTAGCATGGCTTGTTGCCTGCATGAATACTGCCCAAGCACATCACAGAGGAGAGACTCAGAACTTTGAAAGAAAGGCCTCCTCAGCTTGCCTATCTACAGCATGAAGCACGCTCATGCTCTTTTGTTTTCAGTGGCCTGCTAAGGCATTTGGCATTGGGCATACCTTTCCTCTTCTGCTCAGTTAAAAATTCAATTGGACCAATGAGGATTTGAAATGCATTATAACCAACAGGAATTCAGTTCATCAGAAACCTGCCTTTTGTATTCCCTTCCCACTGCGTAATTTTGTAAAATAACTCCCAATCAGAAAATGACTTCAACCTGCTGCCTGAAGTGTGCATTTATTTGTTCACTAGCACAAGGAAAAAACTGAACTAAGTCAAGTGAGATACATGCACACGGTCCTGGAAGGATCATTTTAGAACCAGTTTCAAAGCAGACTCTAATTCAAACATGCCTCTGCCACTTAGACCCACGTGGAGATGTTACCAGCCTCATGAAATGTCATCGAGTAATTGAGTTTTGCCAGTGGAAGTGGTCGCAGCAGCTGTGGCTTTCTTTCTGGGAAAGGAAGGAGGAGAAGGAGGAGGGGCAGCTTATTAGCAATAACTTTAGGGAGGGTGCAATAAAAGCGGACATACAGAGCCATGGGCTATTGATTGCAAATCTGGCAAGGCTGCAGGCCATTCTCATTGCAGGCAGGGCACCGCAGGGCCCGATAGGACTCCTTAAATCTGTTGGCCAGCATCGAGAACTTGCTGCCATGGCATAGAGAGCAAGTGGCACTGCCCGACCCTCGGCAGTGAAAACAGTTGTCCTCAGGAAGCTCCCCTTCCTGCAAGAGACAGGTCAAGGTTTAGTTACTGCGGCAGTTCAAGTCCATTGTTCACATGTTGGTCAAAAAGCATGGGGCTGCCCCAAAGGCTGGGGCAGAATGAGAGGAAAATGCTTCCCACAAATGCCAGTGAAGAGACACGGAATAATCGCCACAATTTTATCACAGAGGATTTCCCTGATGGATATCTCTAAGACAGCATCGCCTGCCGCCATGCCTTCATTCTGCGACTTTACATTCTTCGTCACCCTTGTCACCATCTGATACGTTATTTCTGTTTGCTCCGTAAGAGTAAGGACTTAATTTTCCTCATTGATAAGTACTAATAGTGAACACTTGCAGAGTGCCTCGTAGGGACCAGGCGCTGCTCTAAGAGTCTCTCTCTGTCAGTCTAGCTAATCCTCACAACACCCAGTGAGATGGTATCAGTATTATCATCTCTACGTTACAGATGGAAAATGAGTACTGAGAAGTTCAGTTATTTGCCAGTGGGCACACAGCTTGGAAGAGGAGGGAGCGGGTCTTGATCCCAGGCAGTTGAGCACCAGAGTTCATGCTCCTAATGATTATGTACACAGCCCCTCATTGTAGTTGTCCAATAGTAGGTGCTCAAGAAAGATTGTTTTGTGTGACTGAGAGACTGAGTGGATGAATGAGTCGATGTTACAGTCTTTTGAAGCTTAGTTCTGAATTCCTCCAGTACTTTATTCTCTTTGAGAATCATGAGAAGGCCTAGTGATTAAGAGGTCTTCTCTGGAGCCTGGAACCTGGGACTGAGGCCTGCCTCTGACATAATTATGCACCTTGGACAGTTTCCTTACCTGTGAAATGGGAGTGATAATGCTTACCTCTCTGAATAGGCAGAATATTAAATGAGAGAGTATATAAAAAACACCATAATATATTATCTGGCATACAATAGGTTCTCCATAAAAGTTAGTTCACTTCTAAGTCTTGCTAATAAGTCTCCAGTCCTCTACTCCCGTCCTCCGGAAAATGCCCTTGTCTGTTGTTGTGCTCTTCCTCTAAGACATCTTAAGGTAATTGGCAATCTTTGCACTCCTATGCAAACAGCGTGGATAGTGCATGAACCTTCTGAGAAATAAGGGGCAATACTAGACCAATACCAGGTGGATCCAGCCCCAAGTCCTGTCCATTTTACCTTCTAGACATCTCTCAAATCCATCTGGTTTTCTCCACCCCATAACCACAATCCTAGTCTGGACATCCACCAATTCTGGAATGAATTCAGCATAGACCCCTTCCTCTGGTCTTGTGGGCTGTTCTCCCACTGATGCCAATCTCATTAAATTGCCTGCAATTGTGATTGCCACATAGCTCTCAAGAAACCTTTTAATGAACACTTGCCCTCCAGATAAACTTCAGATTAAAACCGAATCTCCTTAGCTGATTTAAATTTTCAGTTACCTATTTCATCAGGCTCTTGTCCTTAGGGCTCTCTCCAGCTGGTCTCCAGGGACCTTTCCCTGCTCCCAACTCAGCCAATCCTACTTGTTTTCAGATGTCAGCTTAGCAGCACTTCCTGCTGGAAGCCTTGCCCACCCACACCTCTGGATCAGGAGTCTTACGTGCCATTGTACTGCCTCAAGCATGGCGGGTCTCATCCTCCAGTGACTGCTCCTGCTGACTAGACAGGAAGCTCACTGGCCTAGTCCCTTTCACCACCACTTCCTGGACATGTTGTGCAGTGCCTGGCACAATATTTGCTGTTCACGTATTTTCCCAATGCATGAACAAACAAAACAATGAAGTCTTGCACACCCTTCCTGTTCTTAAATTCTAGGGACTAGCAAGACAGCTGGAGTCCACTGGGTGGCTCCACCCAGCTAACTCAGCTTTCTTTTCTAACCTAAGAGTAAAAATAATCTTCAAAAAGGGAGGCATAGGTTCTGAAAATAGCTCCATCGTGCTTCAAAGTGCCAAAGAAGATATTAAATTTTATTTATTCTAGATTTAGGGAATAGAAGTGACTATCCAACTGACAAAAACCTAATGATGTCTATTACCCTTCTGTTAATATTTTATTGATTGTTGCCATATTTAATATACTAACAATGGAGAAAATTGTTTTTTTCCCTTAAAGTATTCTAAGTAGACATATTTGCCAAAATAGTCCTAAAGCAAATTACCATGGTCCATTTTTCTGCCAAATCCATATATTTTATGTTTTGTACTTGATCCTAGTGAAATTGTAATGGTGTAAGTCAATGTTGTCAAAGAAAGTAGAGTAAAATCTTACCATAATGCTATACATGTGATCCAAAAATTAATTTGCATAGAATGTCAGGCCAGATATTGAAAGATTAATGAAATGACCTGGCAAGCCTGCTGTAGAGAACAAGAACAAATCATCAATCAAATTTTATCTGATGTGATGTGGTTAGATGATGCATTATTAGAGTTTTCACTGGAGTTTCCATTCTTACCCTGGTTTACCACCCTTCCGCCAACCACTTGTCCTCAACATGCTCATTTAATCACATAGTGATTCATTAAATCAAGTGTTTACTGAGCCTCTACTCTGTGCAAGGCATGCAGGATATAAGCTTCTGTCTTCCATTATCAGTATTTTTAAAAATTCTTCTCAGAAAATATTTAGTAAGAGGACTTACAACATAGTTGCACAGCATAGCTTAGGTTCTAGAACCGACAAACCTACCCAGACCACCCCTTGCTAGCTCCCTGACCGAGGAAAGGGGCCTCAGCTTTCAGTGCAGTTTCAAAAGCTTGTGTAGCCTGAATAAGGTAACCAACACCAGTCTGGAGCCTGCTTAGCAGAGTGGTTAAGGTTATGAGATTGGTAGTCAGGTGGGCCTGGGTTTGACTACTGGCCCTGATGACCTCTGGCAAGTTATTTAACTTCTCTGAGCCTTAGTTTCCCCAGCTACAGAATGAGACTACTACTAATAACTACCTCCCAGAGTCTTTCTGAGAATGAAATGGACTATTGCAAGGAAAGCATTGGGCATGGTGCCTGGCTATCATGGACCTTCAATAAATGGCAGCTATTATTATTATTATTACTATTATTTCAAATGTAAAATCACATAAACACAATGAAGCCCAGATGATTAATGGTCTCAAATCCACAGACCACAGGGCCAGATTTTCTCTTCCGTGTTTCACTGTGGCTCAATTCAATTATTCCTCTCCTTCTCTGTTATAGTTAATACAGAGGGTCAGCATGTCCTGGGTTTTAGCCTTGCCCTGCTCTTTCATCAAGGTTCCCACTGCTTCCCTGTTCCAAATAACACAACAAAGAGTCTCTTGATCAGAAAGGGCGCCTTGATGTTCTTTGACCCCCTCGTTTAGAATAAAACTTGTCTGGGCATTTCCTGCATGAGGGATTGGGCAAACAAATAGCAATTTAAAACAGAGTTTAAAGGACAGGCAAGTGAGGCGTAACCTTTCACGGCAACTTTCTGCTGTACACCTCTGTCCTAGTTTATGGCATTACAGCTAAAAAACATGGGTCTCTCCAAATTGAATGTAAAGGTAATTGTCATATCAGGCCTATTGTCACTTTTCCTTCAGGCCCGCAGCATGACCTGCATTTTCTCATTTCTGGCCCTCTTCTGAAAATATGTGCTCCTACAAGTTACAATATGGTGTGAAAAAGAATAGAATTAATGAGTTTTAAAGTGAGAAGATAATTCACAATGGATCACAGTGTTTAGTTTTTGCCTACTGCTCTGCTAAATTCTGAATAGGGCTATGGAGAAGACAGGAGAAAGCAGAGGCAGAATACTTCTTACCAGCTGGCACTTTGGTCCCAAATTCCAGTATTCTTTCCACAAACAATTGATATTTACTGAGAACCTGTTATATGCCAAGCTCTATTTTTTTTTGGCATTAGAACTACTGTGTTACACTCAACATAAACATGGCCCCTGCTGTCTTGGAGACCAAATCCTAGTGGGTGAGAACAAGCATTAACCAAACCATTGCGCAAATAGATGTAAGATTGCAACTGTGAGGAGGGTGTGAGGTGCCCTGAGAGGTCCATCCTTGGGACCTTGATTTCATCCTCATGGAAGCCAGAGGAGGCCCCTCCGAGGAAGTGATGCCTCCACTGAGATCTCAGGGGCTGAGGGCAAGGCAGTGGGGAATCTGGAGAACATTCTAGGCACTGCCTCTGGTAGGAGAGAGCAAAGAGCAGATAAGGGGTAGCTGGATGGGCTGTGTGTTTCAGGCAGAGAGAATGAGGAAAGATGAGGCTGAAGGGACCAGGAGTGGCCAGGCTATACAGTGCTTTCTAGAGCAAGCGAGGAGTTTTGGTTTTATCCTAAGTGATGAGAGGCCATTGGAAGTTTTTTTGAGGGGGAAAGTGTGACAAAGGGGTGACGTGATTTGCATTTCAAAAATATCAAGTGTGTGATCAGTTTGGAAAGAGACATGAATGGTTGTGAGCAGAACTTTATTAAGAGTGTCTTGTTGGAGTCTGATCATGACCTTCTCATTCCTGTCCCCTAACCCCTCCCAGGATGGGGACATCACTCAAGTTCGAGGAAGCCCCTGGCCCATTTTGTGACAGCAACCCATGGGAGGTGAAAGTGAGTCCCATAGAAAGCATCAAGTCCCAAGAGATGGACTCTAAAGAGTGATAAAATTCACTTCTGCTGCTTTCCAAGCTTTTATTCTCTTAGCTTAAATTCATCAAAAGGGCTTTTCCCACCCCCAACCCCACATGTGAATTAATGAACATCATCAATCTTCTCCCCTTTCTGAGTGAGTCTGAAAAATGGTTTCCAAGGTGGGGAATGCACATCTCTGAGAGGTGTGGGGAGAAAAAACATTCAAACTATTTATATTTACTTTTTATCTAAAGAAGGTAAGAAATTAGGCTTTAATAATATTTTTTAAAGAAATTTCTATATTAATTTTTACTAAACTAGTTGACACTGGCACTCTCACTAGGCAAGGCAGTCACTAGACAAATGTGGTACCCAACAGACCCTGGAGTAAGCGTGATGGAAAGTGACCTCACTTTACCTAAAATGACAATGGCATCTTGGCTTATTCGTTCCCTTTCAGCATATTGCAAGGTATTGCTGTTTACTTGTGCCTGGTCTAGTGGATTTAGAGATGATATTGCTTAGTTTTAATTAAACTAATCTCTACAAAATCTGAATACTTGGCTTTATAAGATTTTTTCAAGGAAACTATGGATTGAGGATAACACCAATAATAGAAGCACAAGAGAATCCATAAGAAAAAGATCTGATTTTTTCTATCACTAGAACAAGCTGTTCTAAGCTACAGTGCAGAGCAAAAACAATAAATACCTAATCATATCTCAAAAAAACTCCTCCAAAAAATTAAAATTATGAGTATTTGAAATATGGACTTATAACTGTTACTGCTAACAATGTACCATTAAAATATAATAAACTTAAAATTCCTTAACACCTTTAACATTTGGACATCTTAAGTGTTCATATTCAAAATTTTTAACTTAAGTAGTACACAATCAAAACAATTTGGAGACCATTGCTGCAGGGCCAGCTCTGAGAAAGTCAGTGAACAGTTCTCACACACCTGTGGATACTGGTTATGGGGGAAAGTGCTTTCCATCTCTGGCGGAGGGCCATGGTTCTGAGTGCTGTCCCCATAGATTGCCTCTTTCCTCATCAGGGACTCTTCCTCAGCCTCCTCTTTCTGCAGAATTTTCCTCATGAAGTCTCTCTTGTCCATTGGAGTTCGAATGATTTTCAGGTTATTTGTGTAGATGATTATCTTTCTAAAATCTATAATGGGTGGAGACTAGAAAAATGGAGAATGAGCAAACACCAAATACAGGGCTGCAAAACCTGTTCAACATCCCAGGAAGTAGGAGAGAAGGAACTTCTACTGTCCAGCGCTTGCAATCCCATCAGACCCCAAAGAACAGTTCACTCCCTGGTTTGTTGTTCTCTCTGAAAACTTGAAGACCAGTTGTCTTCTTCCTGTTGATGGTAACCAACCAGAGCTGAGCCTAATCAAATAGCTGAAATGTAAGACTTCAGGGCAGGATCCACAGCTTCTGTTCCTAGTATATACCACAGTAGCTGGTGCAGGGTTGGACACAGTGAGTACTTAATAAATACAAAGGAAGGCTTTTTAACAAATAAATCTCTCTCCAAAATTTTTACGCAAAAATAATAATAGTAGATACAATTTATTGAGTTATTATTATTATTTATTATTATTATTATAGTGGAAGGCATTTATTGCGTGTCTGGCATTGTGCCAAGCATTTTAGGAATATTACCTCACTTCCCCCCAAATAGCCCCATAAGGTAGATGCTGTGATTTCTACATTTTACAGAGGAGGAGACCGCATCTCAGTGGGGTTAAGAGCCTTCCAATGTTACAGAGTTACTCAGGGTTTGTGGCTAGGATTTGAGCCCAAGTCTTACTGTAAAGTCCATATTCTTAGCACCTACACTGCACTATTTGCAAGCATATCCCCCCAAGAAAAAAATGAGATCATTTTATATATTTTTTTCAGTTGTAACTTTTTTTTATCATTCATATAATATGAAAATCTTTTTATGTCATAAATATACTTCTATAGCATCATTATCAATAGCTTATGTTCCCATGTATGGATTTATCATGTGTTACTTAATCATTTGTTGTGGAATAATTTGGGCAATATAACAATGCAGGAGAAAAGCATGTGGAATAAATGTTAGGGATTACTTAACCAAGAACACATATTTCTTCCCAGAGCCAGGACATCTTGGAGAGAGACAACATTGGATCCCAACTCCACTGTTCACCAACGTGAGATATAAGAGAGCCATTTGGCCTCCTAGAACCTCATTTTGCTCATCTGTAAATGGGCTGACATCTGATAGGCACCACCACAGACAACCTAGTTATTAAAATATAGAAATACGGGACTGGCCCGGTGGTGTATTGGTGAAGTTCGCGTGCTCTGCTTCTGCAGCCTGGGGTTCCCAGGTTCAGATCCTGGGCATGGACCAACACGCCACTCATCAAGCCACGCTGTGGTGACATCCCACATACAAAATAGTGGAAGACTGGCACAGATGTTAGCTCAGAGGCAATCTTCCTCACCAAAAGATAAAATAAAATATAGAAATACTTCCATACCAAGTGGTGAACAGGTGCTGACTGAGACTCTTGAGTGCCTTCCTGTTTGTCACCCCAGCCTCTCTTCAGGGAACCTCTAACATCCCAAAACTCAATAATGTAGAAGCTAATGCTTAGGCCCCCAGGTCTCAGGACCCTGCTGGCTGCTGTGCTGATTGAGCAATGTCCCTGTGGTTAAATGTTTTGACTCTCATCCCTAAGGCTAATTATATCAACTTCTAGGGGTAAGGGTGCAAGGAAGAATATATAAAACAGAGCTTGCAGGGGCTGACCCCGTGGCCGAGTGGTTAAGTTCGCACGCTCCGCTGCAGGCGGCCCAGTGTTTCGTTGGTTCGAATCCTGGGTGCGGACATGGCACTGCTCGTCAGACCACGCTGAGGCAGCATCCCACATGCCACAACTAGAAGGACCCACAAGGAAGAATATACAACTATGTACTGGGGGGCTTTGGGGAGAAAAAGGAAAAAAATAAAATCTTAAAAAAAAAAAAACAGAGCTTGCAAAAGCTGAAGATACTGTGCAAATAATGGGCATTGTTACTGCTGTTAGTACTAAAAATCATTCTTTAGTAGTGTAGACACACTCATGCTACACAACTAAGTACTCCAGCATGCAATATTTTATCTTGCTTTTATAGAACTGTATAAACCAAATCTATTTAGATGTCACAATTAAGCACTCTCTATTTAAAGCCCTCATGCATTCAGTCGCAACCTGGCTTGAGCAGGTCTTCAGGATCCAGGTCCCCTTCCTTGAAACACCCAGGGAGTTTTCAATTATTATTTGTGAAGCCACAAGCTCTCTACCTGGCCCTGTTTTCTCTTGTTCTCTTCAAGGGATCGTGTGGCAGCTTCCATTTCCTATTGTTTGATGCACACTGGATTCCTGTTTCACACTCTGGACTATCAGTTTCTGAACATCAGAAGATAAAGATGGTGGCACTTTTGGAAGGTTCCATTTCCACTTCCAGTAATAGCCAAAGAGGTTCAGTTACTAGGGAGCTTTTTCCACATATAGAGCTGGGTTTTTTCGAGGCAAAACTTTCAATATACTAAAAAAAATCTGCAATCATCTGGCCCAACCTCCTGCCTCTAAGCTAGTCAATATCTAAGATACCCAGCATAGTAAATTTACTTTTAATGTACTCCGAAGATGGAGGGTCCCAAATCACTTTAAGGTGTGTTTAAGTTTCAGTCATCCTGACAGCCAAGTTCTTCCTTGTGTCTAAGGAAATGCTCTGGGTGTAACTAAAGTTCACGTTATCTGGTTACAACCAATTGCCCGTGAGAAACACCCACTCTTACATTATGGAGGACCAGGAAGGAGCCAGGAATTTTTTTGTTTTCTTCCATAGAGCGCAAACGGCAACCAACGTGATTGAGCTTTCATAAATACTCTGATGTCAATGGCAACGTGCCTGCAAATTGCTACTCAGGCCCCCTGAAACCTTTCCGTTGCTCTGTGTTTAAATGTTAAAGGCAGGCAGACCTGAGTTCAAATTTTATTCAAGCATTACTTGACAGCTGTGTGAGATTTGTAAGTTATTTAAGCCCTGTGAACTTGTTTTTCCAATTTGTAAAACTCCTCCTCATAGAATTGTTGATGAAATTACAGATGAGTTTAGAAATTAGAAATACGATTAAATTACATAGTATGTAAAGTATGTTCAGTAAATGTTACTGCCCTTCCTTTTCCTTCCATTTTTTTTATGAACCTTAAAATTCCTTAAAATATTTGATTGTTTATAACCACTTTCTCTATCCATCACATAAAGCTTAAAAAGACTCAATATTTCTTTGATAAGAACCTGGTCATTATCACAAGGGTCGACTACATTTACTCACTGAGCATATACAATGTGCCAGGCACAATGTTAAGTCCTTGTGGCGTATTATCTTTTTTAGTCACCACAGTAATCTCTCTTAAGTACATACTTTTATTACCCTCCTATCACAAATGATGACATTGAAGCTCAGCAAGGTTAAGTGGCTTGCCCAAGCTCATACAGTAAGTGGGTAGAATGGACATCAAGCCCAGTCTAACTCACATCAGAGCCCTTGCCATTTTTTTAATTATAACTTTTGTGTGGTAAAATATACATAACATAAAGTTTACCACTTGAACTGTTTCTAAGTGTACAATTTAATGGCATTAGTACATTCACGCTGTTGTATAACCATCACCACCATCCGTCTCTAGAACCTTTTCTTATTCCCAAACTAAAATTCTGTACCCATTAAACTCCCCATTCTCCCCTCCCCCAGCCCCTGGCAATTATCATTCTACTTTATATCTCTATAAATTTGACGACTCTAGATACCTCAAATAAGTGGAATGATATAATTGTCTTTTTGTGACTGACTTATTTCACTTAGTGTAATATCTTCAAGTTTCATCTATGTTGTAGTATGTCAGAATTTCCTTCTTTTTTACTATTCCATTGTAGGTATAAAGCACATTTTGTTTGTCCATTCATCTATTGATGGACATTTTGGTTGTTTCCACCCGTGGGCCATTGCAAATAAAGCTGCTATGAACATTGGGATAAAAATATCTGTACAAGTTCATAGCCCTTATTTTTAATTGTTGAGCTTAACTGCTACCCAATGTTGCTTCATAGCCAATATTTACTTGGGATTATTTTACAATTGGATTCACAGTTGAAAAATCATGACTTCGAAGCTCTCATTTCCTTATTTTTTGTAAATACCACGTTAACAACCTGTTCCAGTGGGTGAAGCTGCATGAATCCATCCTGACAGCTCTCATACCCAGAGCTGGCTAAAACTGGAATGTGTCATTTGATCAGGGAACAAAGGAAGCAAGGATACTGGATGAAGCAGGAATCAATCTCGAACATGGTCTCTAGATTACTGTGTTTAAGCCAACTGTGTGGTGCTGCCATGAAGACTCAGTTATTGGGTTTTATAAATCCATGCCTAATCATACATTTACATAAATACCAAGTTTGACACATGATTTATGAAGGTCAAGCAGTTTCATATTGTCTACCACGGCCTTGTACAAGGTTTGTAGAAACTACAACTTTGTAAATTCTAAACCTACAAATAAAATTTAGTTTACAAGAGACGCTGTAAGCAGAAGACATAGCCAAGTACCTAGGATTTAGTAAGCACTCAATAAATCGTAACTATTATTGTTATTATCATCATTATTATTATTGGTCTTATACTCTAAAAAGGAACATTCCATAAAGCCAACAGCACAGGGAATCAGAAGACCTAAGTTCTTATTCTAACACTGCACTTAAAGACCCTGTGATATTGGGTCCCTTAATAACTTGGTGCTCAATTTTCCTCATCTGCAAAATGGGAATGACCATACTTTGGCTTTCTCTTCAAGCTTGTGGTGAAGACCCGATGAGGTAGTACGTGATAGCACTTTATAACGCATAAGTCACTCCACTAATATGACGGGTTGTTCATTCCGGCCCCCTTTAATACCAAAAAGAAACCTGGTATTATCCTTGATAAATGTGGACATGCCCATAATTATACTTTTATCAATGGCAGCAAGGCCAATACGTTTGTCTGCTATAGATGTATTATCTGTTCCCTTAGGACACTAACAATAAAAACGATTAGAGAGTAATTATCTGAATTTTACACTTTAAAGATGAGAAGATATCCTGGTGTGCTATTCATTAATAACCTGGTACATTATATAGTTGTATTTAATCTTAAAAAAAAAAAAAGGGCATTCATGGTCCCACTGGCAGAGAGTGTATACACATCTCCTATTAGTTTTTGGAAATCAGTGAATATTTTCCAGGCTCTTCTAGCTTAAAAGAAAACCATGCCTCGGCTTTTGATTATCCATGGTACTGGGGAAGATAATTGAAATTCACAGATAAAATACATGTTTCAATTGAACTATTAACTCAAACTTCTTCCCCATATAACATTTCCTCTGGTTGATTTGCTTTTCACCATCTCTTCCCAGGACTCCAACTGCCCGGTGTTCATGCTAATGAGCAATGGAAAGGCAAAATAAATATATAAATAAACAAACATTTTTTAAAAGCAGGCAGCAGGAGGGAGACAGGAAATAAAACAAGACGTGGATAAACCGCAAGCTGAATAATTGGCTGGAGCAAAATGAGCACCTTCAAACACTTAGCTCTTTCAGGAAACAAAACAATTCGTTGCCACATAATTTTTGAAAACGGCAGTCTGGCAGCCTGAAAACCACTGCATCTGTATTTAATATACTCGTCGAGATAACCCAGCCAAAGACCCAATTACAACTTATCACCTTGGATGGAATTTGAATACTATCTATGCTTATTGCATTTTCCAATAAATAGTCAACAAGCATGTTATTTTTGTCCCAGAAATATTATTCTAATAGCAGCTTCCCATTCGGTGCCCCTGTAGCTCTGGCTGGTACCAAAGCATGAGCAAATACATATTGGAAACATTTAGGTGTTTCTCTAAACACATTTTAGTTCTTAAAGCTTATACACCATGCACAATACCAACCTTATGGTCATTCGCCTTGTAATCATTGAAGAAAGGTTGGCTGCCCGCCAAAGTGTAGGCATTGCCCTCTCTAAACACGCTGATCCTTTGAGCAGTCAGCTTCGGGGAGCATGGTCGAGGTTTGGGGGCTTCCCCTGACCCATACACACCATCCATTGGTTCCAGGGCCTCTTGGAGAAAACTGTGAGGGTATTCCTCCTTTGGTGACTCTAATTCCTGCCCATCCTCAAAGACCTGCTTCAACACCCGGCCGCTGTAGGAGGAGGAGATTTTAAATCGTACTTTCCGGGGTTTGCTGTCACTCTTCTGGTCCAGCTTCTTCTCAGGGTCCTCCATCAGCAGAAATTTCACCCTGTGGTTCCCAGGCTTCAGTGTAGCCAGTGAAACTTGGGGCTCTGAGGAAAAGGCATTTTATTTTCTCTCCTCCTGCATATAATTAATTCAAGTCGGTCCTGGGGTATGCTCAGTTTACAGCAACTAACACCCACACATTAAATATTGATAGGTCTCCATGCAAAGGCAGGCAGTTGTGGGTTCATGGAGTGGATGGAGCATAAGACAAGATTGAGTCCCCTCTGAATCCCGAACTCACCCGTAACTTCACTCCAACCCTGGCTTTTCTTAACCTGAGCATGAGCAGGTTTCTTTAGACTGAACAAGTATCAATTCAATAAAGATCAGTTGCTCAATCGGTTAGCAAGTGTCCTGTCATTCTTACCAACAACTATGACCTAGTGAACATTTAATCGGTGCCAGAAATTTTTACATGCATTATCCTACTTTGTCCTCACAATAACCCTACAAATGAAAGTATTATTAGCCCTGTTTTACAGAGGAGAAAGTGAAGCTAGGAGCAGTTTCCCCATTTGTCTACTCTGTTACAGCTAAATAAAGGACAAAGCAGAGATTTGAACTCAGTTCTATCTGACTTAAAAACCCGTGACTAGTCTGGCAAGCGGAAAGTTTTCAAACTGTGTCTCATGGAGCCCTAAGACAGGAGGAAGCCATGGTCCTGGATTCTGGGCCTTTTACCCTTGCATTAACCAGAGCAGCTCTACTTTATATCTATTTTATATTTAAGATCTCATTTGCAAGCACAGCGCTAGGCCCCACTGCCTACTGTAGACAACACCTAGTTAATGCCCAACACTGTGAGCCAGTCACAGGGACGAATATCAGAGAAGCGTGAGACAGGCTTGAGAATGGCTGTCCTACACTCTAGGAAACAGATCTAATGCATATGAAATAATAGCCTCCTGCTTAGGGAGCAAACTGTCTACTGCTGACTCTCAGAATAGAGATTCTGGGAAGAGAGTGGTCCCTAAAGAGACGAGGATGGAAGAAGGCTTTTAAACGAAAGGGTCCTTGGTTTGGGTCTAAAAGAACCGGTTGGATTTGAGGAACTGAAATGCTGGAGGTTAAGCCTTTCTCCTTGTCTTTGCTGATGACATCATCATTTACTCAGTTGCCCAAACTGACTTCTTTCATATTCCTGCAGCCATTCCTATGAATTCTGCCACCACCCTGGCCCTAGGTCAAGCCCTCATCACTTCTGTCTTCAAAGTTGCAGTTGCAGCAGCCTCCCAATGATTTCCACGACCATCCACAAGTCCATTCTCCACAGTGACGCCAGGGCGATGTTTCCAAAAAACAAGTCTGCAGATGTCAATCTCTTGCGTAAAAAGTCCTTAATTTTCTGTGCAGCAGGCAAAGTTCCTCAAAACCTAACCCTACTTCCTTCCCATACTCAACCTCTGTCGCTCTTCTCAGTGCTGCCTGGAGTTGGTCTTCCAGGCACACTGACAAGCTCACCTATTTCTCAAAACCACAGGTGTTTGTCTCTTAGCCAGTACTCTGTTTCCTGATTGAAATGTGAAACTTCCACTCCTCCTTCAAGTCACACCTCAAATGTCACTGCTTCTGGGAACCCTTCCCACCTGTCCCAGGGAGAAGGCCATGGAACTTTGGACCTACCACCTTTAAGTGCTTCTTGCTTTCTCTTACCATTCCTGTGTTCCCCTCCATTAAACTGTGAACACCTTAGAGTCAGAAGCTGCCTTTAACATGTCTCCATCCCTAGTGTTTATCAAAATGTCTATACATTATAGAACTCAGTTAACAGTTGTTGAGTGAATAACTTCCAGGTGAGAAATCAAATAAGAAACTTTTGGAACAAGAGTTGAGCACATTTTGGGGAGAATAGTGAAGAGTGAAGATCAGAAAGTTGTAAAAAAAAGTCTACATTTCTACTAAGGAGGGATTTCACAGTTATAAGGCCCCTGTGTAATCAATGCAAGGAATAAGTTAAACAGAGAGAGGTGGAAACAGCTTTTTAAAAAAAGAAAGATATGCTCTTCATAACATCACCACATATGTTCCTCTAGGTTCGTGAGAATGCAGAGCTGGCCCCGTTGTACTATGAATGGATTACAGGAGGCTGAAACATGGATTCTGAAGCCCTCAGGACAGCCAGATGGAGCCCCAGACTTCCAGGTGGTCACTTCTGACTACATCAGCCTCATTCATTTACTCCAGTGTATGGAGAAAATACCGTTATTTTCTATGTGTGCCATGCCATGAAAAAGATTGGAAAGCCATAACTAGAAGAATATCTTCTTCTATTCATCCCAGGAAACAGGTATTAATAAGTGACTGATAGACTATCTTCATCCAGAAGGACCAGTGAGCTGACTCCCACAGCTATTTGTCAAATGAGCATTTTCAGTTGCCCAAGGAATGAACACCGTTAACAAAGGTAGCCTTTCAGAAGGGTAGACTTCAATCAGAGCTTATGCACTGATGCATTTTGCATAATCATGTCTCTGCCACCTTGAATATTGTTAAAATTAAGTTCAAATTATGAAAATTGTCAAATTATTATTATAAAGCCTTATAAATCTTCATATCCTTGAACCTCACTAGGAAAGAAAATAACTGCATAACTCAGAAGAAATAACATCAAAACATTCACATTGGTTGCCTCGGGATGGAGGACTCTGAATGATTTTTTTCTTTCCCAGTTTCATTACATTTTAATTGTCTATGATAAGCTTATCTTACTTTGATAATCAGGGGAAAAATAAATGAAAAAATTTCATTCCTTTCGACTCAATAATTTCTCTTAAGGAAACAATTTTTTTTTTTTTAATTTTAAAGTTGGAGCAAAAGTTGATTTGATTCGGGCAGCACCAAACCAGGAGTGGTTAGGAGTGCTCCACCAACAGGAGCTCTGGGAGAGACTTTTATAGCGAAAAAGTGGAAGCAAAGTAAGGAAATTATTGGTTGGCTATAGCTTAAAGCCTTGTTGGCTGTTTGTGGTTGGTTGTCCTTAGCGTTTTGATTTTATAACCATGAGGCATTTACAGAGTTAGATTTTGTTTTGCTTATGTAGGCCACCACAGCATTAGAGCTGATTCAGTTTAATGGCCTCTTTGTTTAATTAATTTAATAGTTCCCTCCTTTTGGTCATCCTCTCATACGTGAGAGATTGACCAAACATTTGGTATTAGCACCACCCTCAGTCAGCATCAAATTAAGTTGCCCTCGTCTCATTGTGAAACTCATAAGGTGTGATGTCAGATCCATGGAAGAATTGTTTGTGCCATTCATCTCAGTTCTGTTTCTCCAAGCACAACGGGGCCTTATGATGGACTGCTGATGGCTTCAAACATGTGTGAAGACCTTTGAGAGAACATAGCACACCAGGGAGACTACAATGATAACTATTAGGAAGATAATACCAAGAGGCTTAAATATACTCCTCAGCCAGGGCCCCATGAACCAAACCAGCTGGTATCAAATAAATCAAAGAATGTACCGAAAAGAACATCAATTTGTTTTAGCCAAGTGGCTTGTTTGTTAATTCCTTGTATTTGTTAAAGTACCAGAGATGTTGATCCAGGTACAGCAGGAGGTATTTTCTATGGCACAGACTTCTCCTTGTTCAGCCAATAAGTAATGTAAAGCAATTTTATTATTTAAAACCACTTTAGCAAGAAAGTCTAGGGACTTTTCTTGTGTAGCTACAACCTTATCGGTAGATTCAGCAATAGTTGCCAGAGTTTAAGGAGCATTGTTTTGGGGACAGCCCTGGTGACCTAGTGGTTAAATTCATCATGCTCCACTTTGGCAGCCTGAGTTCAGTTCCCAGGCATGGGTCTACACTGCTCTGCTAGCAGCCATGCTGTGCTGGCAGCCCACATACTAAAAAATAGAGGAAGATTGGCATGGTTGTTAGCTCAGGGAGACTCTTCCTCAGAAAAAAAAAATTAGCATTGACTTCTCATGCATTAACAGAGAGAAAAAGCAAGTAGCAAAAAAACAAAAGTAGGGGCTGGCCCAGTGGCCGAGTGGTTAAGTTCGTGCGCTCCACTGCAGGCGGCCCAATGTTTCATTTGTTCCAATCCTGGGCACGGACATGGCACTGCTCATCAAGCCACACTGAGGCAGCGTCCCACATGCCACAACTAGAAGGACCCACAACGAAGAATGTACAACTATGTACTGGGGGGCTTTGGGGAGAAAAAGGAAAAAATAAAATCTTAAAAAAACAATATTTAAAAAAAAACACAAAAGTAATAAAGCTTTCATATTGGAGATAAAGATCTTGATCTGTGATCTTGAAAGAGCTATCCACCCCAAGATGCTATCTGCTTCAGGGGAGGAACCACCCTAGTCTATTTTAATTTTAGATCTCTAGCTGGTGTGCAGTTTCAAGAGTCTGGAAGAGCCCTTTTTAATTGGAGGGTGTGGACCCAAGGTTCAAGTCTCTGGAGTTTGCCTGCCATCTGGGTAGTAAGGAGGACTTGGTATGATCTCTTCCAAGGAGATTCAAGGCAGTCTGTGTTCTTAGCAATTCCAAATCAAAAAGGTGGTAGAAAATTTGAAACATTAGTTTGGAGAGTTGTAGACAGATATTTGAGGAAACTAGAATTCAGGATCTAGTTCAGTTTACAGATATATAACAGAATCTCAAAACAATGAACAGGACTAGAATCTGATATCCACAAGGTAGTGTTATAATTTTCTATGAAACCTAATTTTTTTCCTCTACCATCGCCTTCATTTCCATCAGAGATAATCACAGTAATACTAATTTGTTTGCAAAATAAGTCTAGTCTCATTAAACGTGGCCTGATTATTTACATAAATGCAGCAAGAATAGCAATTGATAATATTGGTGCTTTTTAAATTTGCTTTTCTGGAACTTTTCATGGGGAATCTTAGATTGGACTTTTAAAAGCCTCTCCAGCCTAAGAAACCAACCCAAGAACTCACTATCAGACTTTACTTGGAATACTTATAGATGTAGATGAATTCCTCTCTTCTTAGGGGTATCCTAAGGTTCCTGGGCCTGCCAGGAAGTAACCTTCATTACTCACCTGTTAAGCTGCTGGGAACCCTATAAGCAAGGTACCAGGCTGGTTTTTCCAAGAGGTTTTTGTTGGCTCCATAAAGTCAATCTTAGTCCTTTAAAACTCCTGGTCATATCTGATTTTATGCATATTCTCAATTATGAAATTCCAGTCAGCCTTAGTAATATGACCAATGTTTCCAATTGTGTCCTGTTATGAGGAGAACAGATTTTTATTGAATTTATGGAAATAACTATATTGCCATGAACATAAGAATACTCAATAAGATTCTGGAGGGATCAGAGAGGGAGAAAAAGTAAATGTTTCAATTCTGTTTACAAAGGTATACTGTACGAAATTACTGTAAGTCACGGATAGCTTAAGAGAAAAAGGTTTCCTTAGATCTGGGGAAAAAATACATTAAGGAACCAGCAATGTTTTAAAGAAAAAGTTGTAAAAATTATAATCATCCTCATAAGTTCATTCAATCCCATGTTATTAATTCTTGTTTTGCTTAAATTCAGTTTTTCCATTAGTTCTGGAAATTCTTACCTGGTTCAGTTTCATGACCTTAAAATTAGCAGAAACCTATATTCTAGAATACTTGTCAGAGTCCTTTCCATGAATCCTTCTGAAAATGAATCACCTTTGGAAAAGCATCAGAGTAAAACAATAACAGTGTGTGAATGGCAAAGACTTTTAAAAAATGGCCATGGTTAAAGATCTGATGAGAGTTCATTTGATAAGGAAACGTAGTTATTCCTGTAGCATACAATAATTTTGGATGACAATTGTACAATGAGATTATTGATAAATTTCTAGAAACTTTAAACAGTTTCTGGAATACCTAATAAATAAAGAATCTCTAGAATAACTCTGGGAGATCTCAAAGTTATTTTGAAGTCAAAAAGACTGTAGTTAGAATTTGATTTGGGGAAGTTGTTAAAATGTCAAAAGGTTTGAACATTTGACTAAATGGGATCTCAGCTCATTATGAAATAATACTTAACAATCACAATAGAAAATTTTAAAGGCAAATACAGAAGGTTACATAGTTGTGAATAAAACTTAGCTCTTTCATTGTTGAGAAGACTAGGTTTTCTTAAATAATCAAAGACCTGGTAAAGACAAAGTGAAACACAGAAAATTATTTTGGTAAGACATAAAATATTTTCTTTCCAGGTAGATTACCCAAAAGGTTAAAAAAAATTCACAATTTTTTATCAAGGACAGACCAATATTCCCAGAAAATTTTATCTTTTTAACAAAGAGAAAACCAAATTCTAATTTTGTACCAGTGTATTTTTCATATTAAAACTTATTCCTTATGGGGCTGGCCCCATGGTCAAGTGGTTAAGTTCACGCGCTCTGCTTCTGCGGCCCAGGGTTTCGCCAGTTCAAATCCTGGGCACAGACATGGCACTGCTCATCAAGCCATGCTGAGGCGGCATCCCACATGCCACAACTAGAAGGACCCACAGCTAAAAATACACAACTATGTACCAGGGGGCTTTGGGGAGAAAAAGAAAAAATAAAATCTTTTTAAAAAAAAAGACTTATTCTTTAAAAACTTAAATAAATCCATTCCCATTTTATTCAGCTTGAGCACACATAAAATTCCTTTTCCAAGATTCCTTTTCCGCAAACTTTCTGCAACTTATTTTTAATATCCATTCAGATTTTGACCTATGTTTTTCTCTTTCTCATTCTGGAATGACTGGTTGTTCTACTTTCCTTATCTACTTTTCATACCACAGTTGTTTCCTTTCACCTTTTTTATTTCTAAGTAGTTTTAAAACTTAAAAGTTTTAAAGGACTCCATAAAGGAAGCTATAGACATGAGTCTACAGAAGCTGAGTGGGGCTGTTGAGGACAGGACATTGTGGACATCACTCATTCTTAGGGTCACCAGAAATCAGAGCCAACTTGACAGCACATAGCAACAAAGTTTTAATTACATGTACTGATTAGAATTCTTAACCCTTAGATTCATTTATTCCTCATGAAAACTAAGAAGTAAGCAATTGTGGACTGTCTGTTACATTAGCATTTTGTGGATTGGCAAATTTATAAATACACTTCACAATTTCTAGAAGTATATTCTTCCTCATAGTAAAACTTTGAATGTGGCACAGAACATACTTATTAACAGACCCAAATATCTTTAGTTCCTCTCTAAAAAGCCAAAAGTGGATGAACTTATGTACAGTAATTAAAGTTTCAATATTCTATCTTATTTGGAAATGATCTAGATAGTCAATGAATATCCATCATTTAACTTATCTCAGAATAACTTTAAGCTTTCAAGTTACCAAAAAGATTTTGGAAACTATTTTTAAGCAGACATACCATAAAGCATAATTATTGTTGAAAAGTTCATTTATAAACTTTTATCTTACGTGTATTTAATTTACTTGTTCTTAGCAATTATATTTAGATTGCTCATGAAAATTTCATGAGACATTAAACAGTTAACCATTATCTTAAGTTCTCTTTCCTGCTGACAAACTCTGTAACAAAGACAGCAGGAGCCTATTTGACTTTCTGTAAACCTAGGTAGAAGAAAAGTAGCATATTTAATGCTGATAACTCTAAAGACATGCCTGCTTTAATTAAAAATTAGAATTATTTACTGAAGATTATCTTGGATCACACAAACTTGAAAAACATTTGGGTTAGTTTCTATATTTCTGAGAGTAAACTTGATTTATATAGATGCTTGTTTGTCTCTAATCCACTTAAATAGAGCTTTTACAAATTACTTTTGGCAATACCATCCAGAGATAGAAAAATATCACACATCTATAACATAGACAGACACTGAGATCTTATAGCTTTTGTTTTAAAATTTGAGTCACGAGACAGATATGATAATGCAAAACTCAGTAGTTTATTTAAAAAAAATCAATTGGAGCCAAACTGAGTTTCTGGCATATAGAATAGGTCAAGGCTACCTCTCAGATGGCTGAAGCTTTTACTTAATATTTGTGGAAAAGACTTTAAAGAGTTTTCATTCACCTAATTTTCAAATAGCTTCTTTTTTTTTTTTCTGATCAGAATGACCTCCCTGAAGTTTGCATTTCAAGAGATGGCTCTGGATTCCT